TTCCTGCTGCTGCTTATGAAGGGAACAGCTTGTACATCCAGGCCTGGGACTTGCAGGAGTCCATCATCCTTCTCATTTCACCTGGTTTTTTCTCATAGGCCAGGAAAGAGAGAGCGGGAGAACAGCGTGGGAGGTCGGGAAGGAGAACAGTCGGTGATGACATGGCGTCCCCGCGTGTAGGCGGAGGGCAGTGAGTGCAAGTGCGGAGCCGAGAGTGGTTTCCATTTTGAGCATTTTTCCAGAAAGGCGCTCCTAGAGCTTCACCCATCTTAAACGATACTATCTGCTTTTTGAGGTGTCTTTGAAAACCTAGAATATTATCATCATCCTTGATTTTAACCTACTGATATTTTGCCCTTGAAAAATACCTGGAAATGTGAATTGTTATGTTACTACGGAGTCTCACAATGTAGCCATCCAAGCACACCTAAGAACAGATAGTTCCCTGTACCCCAAGACTGTCAAATGGAGCAATTACAAAGACTGTGATTAATACTAGCTTGTCCTGGTTATACAAATACGCACAGACAGTGAGGCCCGATGTCCCTACACTCGTGGTGCAATTAATTACTCTGACGTGAGCTTGGCAAAGGTTCCATCCACTGTCAGAAACAAGTGAATGAAGGTCCACAAGTTTTAGGGGAGCACATTAGGGCTGGGAGGGACCTTTAGAAACACAACATCTTACATAGAAAGAAACTGAATCCACAAGAGGTGAGACATCTTGCTTGAGAGTATCCGTGCAGACGAGTGCGAAAATCCAGGACTGGGACGCATGGATCTGAACTCTGATGCAGTGGGGTCCCTAAAACATCACCGTGAGGAGGAGTGGGTAGATGTAGGTGGAATCTTGAACTAGACCGGCAGATGAAGTGGTTACACTGCTGGACTCCCATATGACTGATTGCGGTTTGAGTCCTGGACCCGGCAACTTGAAACTCATGCTAGGTGTGTCTGCGTACGTACCCGAAGTCCCAAGAGGAGAATGGAGGAGAAGGGATTGCGGTGTGGCCATTCCCCTGGAAGGTGATTTCTTGCTTTCTATCTCTCTCTCTTGCAAGTGCACACACCATATAGCAAAAATCTCTAAATAAATAAATAAATGAAAGTATTACAATGCAGAACATATTACAGTGTTAAGAAATTTTGTTCTGCCCATTACAAAATTACAGCTATACCATGGAAAAACTACCACCCTAGCCGTCGTCTTGTGGCTGTGAGTGCCAAGAAATGAGTGTCGTGGGAGGAAGCCATAGGAGTGATTTTTGAGAGGTGACCCCTTTATGTAACTGTTAAAACTCTATGTTGGCTGATTTCAGTTAAACCAAGTGATAAGACGTGGCCATATATGAGAACTGGAGAAGCAGTCTTTCCTGGGACTACACTGTGATCAGTAGAGAGCGCGTGTTGCTCGTATGCATGCTGTCGGTTCCCGCCATGCAGGCGTCCTAGGTTCATACCTGCAGGAGGCTGGTTGTGATGAACATACCCCCTTTGGACTAGAGTAGAGTGCTAGTTTTCCGTCGTCAGATTTCCTCGTCACAGCTGCTTTCATGAGTTTAGCTGCTGGGTTTCCTCCGCCCACTGCGACTGAGGCTGAACCGAAGCAGTGCCACGTCGCCCTCTGTACTGTGACTTGCGCCATCTCGCCGAGGTTACCTGCCTGCACCTTTCAGAGCTCCTGAGTTTGCATCCTCCCTGCTCTTCCCCTGAACCCTTAGAAGAGCAGAGCAAAGCATTCTTTAAAATCTGTAGCCCCGACCCCTTCTGATCGGTGCTTGCCTTCTGAGTGTCATTGTCTTTTCCCCCCCTAACCCTACAGGTCTTAGAGCTCCAAGATGTTCTGTAAGTGTTTTTATTTGTGAGGAATAAGAAGCCATCCGTGGAAATTTGAACCGAGTGGGGGCAGAGAACAGTACAGACCCCTTTGCTGGTGGAAGAGTTGTCGGTGCGTGAGACGCCCTCACCCTGGGAAGCTGTGTGAGGGAGCAGCCCGGGAACACGTATGCGAGCTTCCTGTGGAATCGTCCTGTGTGTGAAGCTTTAGAAACATACCACCGCTCTCCCACATCTTCATTTTCCTGTCCTTCCCATTCCTGTCCGGGTGGATCTGCATATACTCTGCGACTGGGTGACCCCGAGACTGACATCGTCTGCAGCAGAAAGGAGGACTTCCCGTTGCTGCTGTTCCAATAGGCCCTTTTATCTGGAGCTTCAGCTTTCCTTCCTAGCTGTCACTTTTTTAAATAGCGTTGGGGTTATTATTTGCTTCCCTTCCCCCCGCCCCCCGACCAAGTTATACATCTCCATTTGCTGACCTCTGGGCTTTGTCACTCAGCAGGGTCTGATGGCCCCATCTTCTCCTGCCCTCGCCCTGCTGTGACTCCAAAGAAAGGGCTCCCATTGCCAGTGCCCTGCGGAGGAGGCTGTGCGCCCGGTGGGTGCCACCGTCAGCCCGGCTCCATGATTGCGCTGCTGTTTTCTAGGCGTTCAGTCCCAGCCCCAGTGAGGCCTCCCATCCCCATCCATTGGCGACGTCTGGTGGAGCACTTTTGCTGAGGGAAAGGCTGTTGGTAAATAGAGAGAGGGAAAG